TTTGTAAACTGCAACGTTCAATCTACGGATTGAAACAAGCATCTCGGAGTTGGTACATACGTTTCGACGAAACCATTTCCAGTTTTGGTTTCAAGAAGAACTCTGACGAATCTTGTGTATACAAGAAGGTCAGTGGGAGTGTAATAGTATTCCTAATCTTATATGTCGATGACATATTGTTAATGGGTAACGATATTCCCGCTCTCACTTCTGTAAAGACGTGGTTGAGCGAGAACTTCTCCATGAAAGACTTAGGGGATGCTAGTTATGTCCTTGGAATAAGAATCTACCGAGATAGATCAAGAAAGTCAATAGGTCTAAATCAAAGTACATAGATAGATAAAATCCTTGATCGATTTACCTATGACACCTGGAACGGTTCTTTCCAAGAGCCAGAGTCCTTCTACTCCCGAGCAGAAGGAACTCATGATGAAGGTTCCATATGCCTCTGCGATTGGATCCATCATGTACGCCATGATATGTACTAGACCTGATGTCTCATTCGCTTTAAGCGTGACCAGCAGATACCAGAGAAGTCCAGGAGAAGCACACTGGACAGCAGTCAAAAACATCCTCAAGTATCTTCGCAATACTAAGGATGCATTCCTGGTATACGGTGGTGAGGAAGAGCTAAAGGTTGTCGGTTACACTAATGCTAACTTCCAAACCGACAGAGACGATTCAAAATCACAAGCAGGATATTTCTTTTGCCTGAATGGCGGAGTTTTTAGCTGGAAGAGCTTCAAGGAGGATACAACTGCCGATTCGACTACAGAGGCTGAGTACATAGCTGCCGCCAAGGCAGCTAAAGAAGCTGTTTGGATCAAGAAGTTCATTACTAAACTTGGAGTGGTTCCTAGTATTAATGACCCTATTTCGTTCTTTTGCGACAACACTGGGGCCATTGCACAGGCAAAGGAACCGCGATCTCACCAGAAAACCAAACACATTGCACGACGCTATCACATCATACGAGAAATCGTAGATAGAGGAGATGTGATGATTTGCAAAGTAGATACTGACGACAACATAGCTGATCCCTTGACCAAGCCTTTAGGAAAGCTAAAGAATGAGGGTCACACTAGGTCCATGGGCATTCGACCGATGCCAGATTGGCCATAGTGCAAGTGGGAGATTGTTGGAGTTGTGCCCTGATGGCCAACTGTTCATCGTTATCGTATCATGTATAGGCAGATATAATATGTTTACACATCTCATGCTTATGTAAACAAATATTATATTCCTAGATTTATATTTAAAGATGTTTATCAGATAGTGTTTCTCTGCTGATGAGACTAACATCTTGAAATAAATATTTATCTAAATGTCCATAGTCGAGTATTAACGAGAGTAGGATATCGTTAATGCATGTGAGACTAGTGTGTGTTGGATGTTTGACTTAGTCTCATAGTCAATGATAGCGTGTTTGCATCCGCACATGGGCAGATATTATCTGGAGATAATAGGATTTCGGACTGACCCATCCTAAAGATGTTGCTTGAACTCTTAGTTCATGCTCTAAGCATCTTTAGCGCGATCACGGGTGTAACTATCCTTCGACTTGAAGTATTATGTTTTCTGCATATGTGAACCCGCATACTTTGATGCATTGTCCTTAGCCATATGAAATAAGGATGGTATACAGGCTTTGTTTTGGGTATGCCGCAGCGCGTATTCAGAAACGTAGATTACGTACAAAGGATTTGTCACTACTCTTTTTAAAAGAGATTAATGTCTTATGCGGGCCCACTGATAAGTTATGATTGAGCAAATTGCATGGCCATGCTGAGATGCTTTTATGACGTCTGTTCCTATCAGTCACACTTGATAAATCAGTGAATGACTTAATGGATACAAGCTGGATTTTATTAATCCCTTGCATTAAGTCTAGACATTGAGACAAAGGGATATAGTTACACGTAGTCTGAGTCGTGGAAAGGTTTTGACGGTGCAAACGTCTTAACTTATAATCTGGGGGCAATAATGTGTTGCTAGATACCGCTTATTGCTTATAGTATAGGTGTAGAGCCAATACTGTGGCCAGCTTTATAAGTGCCTATACGGGTCACACACTTTGGACAATTTAAGGAGTAGGATTAAACAATGGGATAATAAGTAATTTGTATATTTGTAAAATAGTAAAATAAAATATTTTGGGGTATAATATATTATATATATGGTTTATATATATATTTAATACATATATGATAACACCGAAATATATATATAAATATATTATCTGTTGAATATTTTATTTTGGTTTGTCATTTTAATTATGAAAATAATTATTTTGACATAAACTATTTGAAGTATATTTTATACTTGTTTAAAAATGATATGGGTATTTTATTTGATTTAAAATTAATTTTATATTAATTCTTGGTGTCAAATAAAATACACTTTGAACATTTAAGTAGAGAAGAATTTCAAGAATCCTTCTCACTTTTCAGAATCCACTTTCGGCCATGTGACATTACAAAGGACAATTTTCCCTTTTGATTTTGCATATATTTAAAGATGTTGAAATTTTCTAATTTGTCATTTTGTGTATTATTGATCTTTAAAATCTCTTTTTATATTTCGCTGCCTATCCTTGCATGGTTACCTTTCACATACCCATCGCTGGTTAGGCATGACTGTTGTGAGTCATTTAAGGCTGATTCTTTCCTTGTTTGAAAGTCAACCTCCCACCCAGCGATGGGAAGTATTTACCCATCGATGGGTAGGTGACCGTTGGCTTCAAAACTGAAGGAAAATTGGCTTACCAGTGATGGGTAACTCCATACATCGATGGGAAGCCAATATCCTGCAGATCCTGATTTTAATCAACTCCATTAATCAAGCAAATCACCCCTTTAATGCATTGGTTCGTTGGAGCCTATTTTGGCACTATAAAAAGGAGTGTTTGGGTATGTTTTTATCATCATTCACTTCACAATATTCATACTTTCATTGCATTCAAATAACATCATTTTCCATAGCTTTCTAGAGCCAAATTGTGTGAAGTTTGAGTTGTTCTTGAGTGTATATATTTTACTCAATATCCACTCTAAAAGAGAGTATTTGTTCTTGAGTGTGTTCGTGTTGTATACACGTTAAGGGAAGCTTGTTTCCCTTGGTTGTACGAAGGAAAGGTATTTTCCTTCGAGTTGAAGTCTTGGAGTGCGGTATCTCCGAGCAAGCATTGTTGAGGCTCGTGGGACTCGAGTTCTCAGGTTGTAACGGTTTGTTAAGCACCCGTAAGCTTAACGGAAGTAGTGTAGCTCGAGAGAGTCTCTTGGAGACTGGATTAGCCACACGTTGTGGTGAACCAGTATAAATCTAGGTGTGCTCCCTTTACGCTTTCTTCGCTCTTTACTTTTCACGTTCTTAATTTTTTATTCCTGCGATTTAATTTCTACGATCAAACGCTATTCACCCCCCTCTAGCGTTGGTCACTTATTCTAACAATTTGCAGTGACGCACATACATGGAGTTTTCTTCACCTCCTTCCCTATAAAAGGAGACCCAATTCCCTCCATTCTTCACCAATTCAATCTATTCTTCCTTCTATTTCGTTCCTTGTTGAAAGAAGAGTGCAGTGGTGTTGTCAATTTTGTGTGAAGTCGCCGGAGCAAGCCGTGGTGTTCGCCGGAAGTTTCACCGTTTTTTCCGCCGGAATCATCGTTTCACTTTGAAGTAAGCCCGTAGATATATCTAATGACTAGAATGTTCATATAGGTCGTTTCTACGTTCATACATGGTCGTTTGGTTGAGTTTTGTGTTTGACATATGTGAAGAACCAAGAATCATAAACCTTGAATTTGTTGTTAAAACTTCGAATTGATGCCTCTAAAATGATCTACGAACCTTGGAGAATATTTCTATATAGTTTAATTGAAGTTTGGTGACCAAAATGGAACTTGAGAAAAATGGGTTAGAGGTTGAAGATGATGAATAGTAACCCCTTCATCTTCCTGCATTTTCCAACGGAACGGACGACCAGTCAAACCCAACAGTCGACCGTTACGAACATTTTTAAGTCCAAAAATGCTATTTTTGAAGCTATAAAATCCTATTTTTTTATACGAATCAATTATGATCAATATAAAAATAATTGTTAAAAATAAAAATGATATTTTGATAAATAAAATTTTATGTGATAAAATAAAAATAATGTTTTGACAAATAAAATTTTGTGTGATGTATGACGGTAAGTTCGGGTGTTAATACTCGAGACTAGGCCGCTAATTGTTATTAAATGTGGTGGTCCCAAAGTGGTGAGATACAAAGTCTAGAGGGGGGGTGAATAGACTTTGTTACAAAAAAAACTTTTTCGTTTCTTTTGAAAACGTGAAAAAGAGTGTTAATCTAGAGTTCTTGTGAACCTTAGATTGTGTGCGGAAGTTGGTGGGTTAATCGAGCAGTAATCAAGATGGATGGGTTAGTTTCACAGTTAATATAATTGCAAGTATGAGTAAAAGATAAAAGAGAGAGAGACACGCAAACTTTAACGAGGTTTGAAGGTGGGGTAATCCTTCTATGTCCTCAAAATCCACTATGTAGTTGGTTGTTGAATAATGAACCAACAATTACACTTCTGTGAATTTTAGCACGGTATATCTTCGCAAGACCAATGTTGCTACTGCACATGTGCTGGCTTTGTTGTTCCTTCGAAGGTCAAGCTTCTTCAACAACTGCAAGATCCGAACAATAAGACTTGCATGATCAACTTCTAGGAAAGTTGATGTACCCCCTTTTTAATCAAGAAGTTTGATTAAAAGATGTATCCTTCAACGTGTTGTGGTACTTGAGGCAAGGAAACCTTCAAGTGTTTACACTATAGCTCTTTGGAAGGAGGAGGAGTTTGCTTCTGGATAAGGAGTTTAGAATTCTCTCTTTATCAAGCTTTTTGGCTAACTATGAACGAGATAGCTTTGTTGTATGTGTTTCGTAGTTTCTATCTATCTCTTGTCTATCTCTTGTATATGTCTTGTATATCTCTTCTTCACTATCTCCAGTCTTCCATAGATGCTATATATATAGCTGGATTGGATAATCTATCCGTTGAATCAAAATAGACTATCCGTTGCATTTGTTGGCTTCAATTTTGAATGAAGATTGTGATTGAGGATTCTTCATTGGAATGGGTGTTTGGACGTACCCAATTGTTTGAAGAGGGATTCCTTTTTCACAAAATCCGTCTTTTAGCTGTTCTTCAAGAATTCTGGATTGTAGCTCTTTATTGAGTGGAGTATTCAGTTTGTCTTCTAATGCTTGTTTAGGAATTCTGGGCGAGCTCTTTAATTTGAGAGGTCCAGACTCTGTCTTCAAGTCATTTGTTCTTGAATCAGCTTAATTTTCCTCAATCTATCCGTTGAAAATCAAGAGATTGATTTTTCCTTACCAACGGGTAGAATTTCTTCATTCAAGACTTAGATAATTTTCTAAGTCCTTATCTCACTTGTCTGCTTCTGAGAATTCCGGTCTTTCTTGAGGCATCCAGTTCTTTGCTGACAAATTTGGAAAAGTCATTCATAGACTTCCGGGTGAGAAAGAAATCCGCGCTAGTCTTCCGATCCGGATGACTTAGCCTTCAGTGGGTTGTAGCGAGACATCCGGTTATCATGTAGTGTTCCGGATTAGAGGATCTTCAAAGTAATCAACTACTTTGAGAATTCCTTACTTGTCTCTGACATTTCCAATCAAGATATCCAATTTCCATATCACCGATTTTTATTAAGTCTTCAAAGATTGACATCAAACCACAGAGTGAAATATCACATCTTTATTGGAAATCTCAAGAACTCGGTTTTAACAATATAACTAAAAAGAAAAATTACATTGAATATTGGGGGTGACCTAAAGTCGCTCTTACAATCTAAATACATCATCATCAAAATCTATAATATTTTTCCCAACAAAATATTAGGTTGATTAATCATTATGATGAATAAATGTTATGAATGATAAACCTACTGATTAGAATGACTATTGATGACTTAATTATAACTAAAAATGGATATATTGATAATCATAACGAGAATGTATTGTTAAGGGTATCTAGAACAACTCTAAGATATACCCATAGTGAAGTTGATTTTGAAAAGGTATCTAGAAGAACTCTAAGATATATCTATATAAGTTAGGCCTTGCGGGTATGATGCCCGGTGGCTAGGGTTAAAACGTGCGTACGAGATCCAAAAACCAAACTTGAGTACCTACTCCTTTGGGGTACCACCTAACCCAACAGTGAACACTGCGCTGTCGGTTTTTGGTTGACCTTAAGCGAAGGTAAGTTTAAGATTTGAAAACTCTTTTTAAAAATATATTTTAAACTAGGCCTAG